GACAGGGGGTCTGCATATGTAATTTTCCTTCATTTTTCATTAATGGCCTTCGTCCGGCCCGCGACCCGTCATTATAACACGATCAGGCCCCCGTGGTCGAATGAGTTGCCGACCCCTGGTGTAGAGAGCACCTATAACATAGTAACAACACTAAGCAGAAGCTGTATTTGACTCATTCTTCTTTAATGCTGAAAAACGTTTATTCTAAGGACTTAAAAAAAATGGAATTACTCAGAAGGTTATAGAATGTGATGGTTCGTATTTTGATGAATAAATACATTTAAGACTTTAAATATGTATCTGACTTGTCCCGGAAAGGGATCTATTTGAACGAAGTAGCTAAGTGGGTTTGGCTACTATAACCAAGTAGAATACGGTAGCAGTAATCGACTAGTACGCGTCGTAGTCACAGGTAATAGGTGTAGACCATTAGGATAGCTAATGGTGTAGTCCAATGGGCGTCGTCATAGACTTAGACTCTGTCGTACCTACACGTCCGTCTGTATTTATGACGGACACCAGCCAATCATATTCCAGTGATGGGGACTTATATCATAATTATATCAGCATCTTTAATTTCCTTTATAAAAGTCGGCCAAAACCTTTTTGGGGCAGCTGATAGTTTGTCCAGAATTCTTTGGCCTTCCTCATATATTTTGATGCATCTGGGAAATACCTGTAAACTCTAGCTGATACATATTTTTACCACACCAACTACAAAGAAATCCTTATTATTTACCATTTTATAAAGTTTGAATCAATTGATAATTCGCCGATGTTTTGCCAACCATTACAATAAATAATACAATAAAAATTAGTCTAAGCAGACAATCTGATGAATAAATAGTGTTGTCATTTCTCAAGAATAAAGAAAATGTATAAATTCATTTTCATATGTGTAGGTTTTATTACAATTGTAATCATCGCTTTTTAAAACAATGCACATCACCAAAGAGTGAAGTTATTTAAAAATCGGTGTCGTGGAAAAGCAATCGTTTTCACTTGTTTTTAGGCTTAGATATACAGACATTAGACATATAAAGACATATAAAGAACAGGGCATTTGATAATGAAGGTGACCTGAAAAAGGACATAACTTTTTCCAAAATAAAACTAAGGACTTTTACAAAAATAGCATTACTCAAAATGTCATAGAATGTGATGGTTCATATTTTGATGAATAAATACATTTCAGACTTTAAATATGCACCTGACATGTCCCGAAAAGGGACATATTTGAACGAAGTAGCTAAGTGGTTTTGGCTACTATAACCAAGTAGAATACGGTAGCAGTAATCGACTGGTACGCGTCGTAGTCGCAGGTAATAGGTGTAGACCAATAGGATAGCCAATGGCGTAGTTCAATTTGCGTCGTCATAGACTTAAACTCTGTCGTACCTACACGTCCGTCTGTATTTATGACGGACACCAGCCAATCATATTCCAGTGATGGGGAGTTATATTATAATTATATCAGCATCTTTAATTTCTTTTATAAAAATCGGCCAAAACTTTTTTGGGGGCAGCTGATAGTTTGTCCAGAATTCTTTGGCCTTTCTCATATATTTTGATGCATCTGAGAAATACCTGTAAACTCTAGCTGATACATATTTTGTTAAGTAACGTATCTTGTTCCGACGTACTATTCCTCTAATAAGTTTTCAAAGGTTTTTGACCAATGCCGGGGACTCTTTTCAGCGTCCAGAGAATTCTGATCCATCGTTAGATTGTCTAGACAGAGTATAAGTCCAATCATTGTGAAAGGGAATTAGTTAAATAAATTGTAATATAGTAACAACTCTAAGTAGAAGCTTTATTTGACCAATTCTGCTTTAATGCTCAAAAACGTTTATTCTATTGTGATAGATGTTTACAGGCGATAGGGGAGATGAGATTTTCTTATTTTATTACCACAGAACACTTCCTCCTGGTCATTGTTTTCGATCTTGGAAGCCCTCCGTCCAGCGGTGCAGAGTCATCAACACACTACCTGTATACGTAACAATTGGGCGCCATTGTTGACACCTAAGAGAAGATTCAACCACCATTTGACAGGTCTTATTTTCAATCGTACTTTGAGTCTCGGCCTCTTCACAAGAAAAGCCTGGTTGGAGGACAATCTAAGTTACTGACTAGCAGCACAACCCGGCGTTGCCCGTGCTTGATTCAAAAATCGTACGACTCATGCAGTAATCGCTATCACTTGACTTAAAATATTTTTGCCCTTCCTTGCATTTAAAGGAGTGCCCTTTGCCGTGCTGATGTTGCTACATGCCTTACTTCTTGCCTATCTCACACTGCGAATTTTTTCTAAGCTCTATACTAAACATTAAATCTGTTACGAAAAAAGAACTAAACAAAATGAACACAAAAACGATCAGCTTTAAAAAAAGGACTCGTAACTGAAAAACCGAATGAAAAAAGAATGTTAACAACAAATACTTTTTCACACCCAACCCAGTTCTGCGGAATCAGAATCAACGTTGAGTTTAAGCAAGCGAATGAGCCAATTGGAGTAAAGTACATGCAGATTTAAATTTTTCCCACATGTGACGAATGCAGCTATCGATTTTTTTTTTTTTTGCATGCTAGCATGCGAGTTAACATTCGTGTCAGTCAGCTGTTGGCTCTCATGCTGGCCATGAAAACTGCCGTAGAAACATGAAAAAATCGATTATTTCCACTATCGATGGGAGTTGGGAAATGCAAAGTCAGTCTTGGCCTTCTCGCTAACTTGGAGCATGTACATGTAAATTTTGGTGCAAATCCGTCGAAAATTGCGGCCGTGCATTCACACACACACACACACACACACACACACACACACACACACACACACACACACATCCTGTCTTTTATAGATAGAGATATGTCGACCATTTTCAAAATGAATTCCGTAAAATAAAATAGATCATGCTTTTCTTCATTTTATCTCTCAAATGACACTAATTTCCAAACATGTCACATTCTTGTAAATCCTGCCTTGACTTCATTTTGTCCTTTAAATTCCTTCTATTTTTGGTTTGCACAATCAACAAAAAAAGTTCCGGAAATGTCGATTTACAGAAAAGACCCAATAACAAGCGGTAAGATTCGTCATATAACATTTCGTCTTGCAATGTCCTTATTATATGATATAAGTAATAGCTAGATACATTGTAGAGAAAGAGTAAAGGACTGGTGGTTCCAGAGTGCGAGGTTTTATAATTAAGCCAGCAAGGTTTGTTATCAGATAGTTAAAATTCCTTGTTAAATTCAGAACAAGGCGGCATGTTACCTTGTGGTTGGGAACTGTTATATGGTTGATTCACAGTTAATACAAACAGTACCATTCCTCCTACGAGTGGTGAAGTTAAAAAGAACTCACTTCAAATCGTATAGCCGATACAAAACGAATATGGCTGGCCCATTCTCATCTACTCAGCCTTTTGTATATACTAAGTAATAGCCAAATAAAGTCCAGCCACTCTAAAAAAAGTTTTTAAAAAAGAAAGGATAAAGAAGTCTTGCTTTTTTTTCTTTTTCTTTTTTTTATAGTTTTTCCCTTCTCATATAAACAAAATTCCAGCGTCCAATTTTAAGTCGAATGAAGCGCCTCGGACGTCAAATACCTTAAATGCTAACACCTGCCAAGAATAAACAAAACTGATAGAAAATGTAGAGGAAAAAAGCAAGAGCAATATATAAAAAACATACAAAACAAAGCTTATTAGAACGACCATGTAAATAATAATAATAATAATAATACGAAGAAGAAAAAGAAGAAATGTGAGATAAATTATTAATAGTAGTAATGATCATCAGAAAAAAAGGATAAAAATACGTTAAATAATAAGAAAATGAATAATAATAATAATAATGATAATAATAATAATAATGCGAAGAATAATAATAAATGTGTGATAAATTACTAATAACAGAGAAAAGGATAAAAAGAAATATGTTAAAGAAGAAGAAAATTAATAATAATAATGATAATAATAATATTAATAATACGAAGAAGAAAAAGAAGAAATGTGAGATAAATTATTAATAGTAGCAATGATCATCAGAAAAAAAGGATAAAAATACGTTAAATAATAATAATAATAAATACCAATGAGAGATGTTATGAGCACCACCCAGACACAGTTACCCAAAATAACGATGTAACTATCCTCTGAGAAAGGACAATTCAAACTGACAGAGAAATAAAAGCCAACAGACCTGATATCATAAAAGACAAGCAATTCAGGAAGTGTATGCTTATTAACATAGCAGTGGCATCTGAGAGAAGAAGATTATCGAGGAACTGGTGATCGAGATTAACAGGAATGTGGGGAATGAAAACTGAGACTATACCAATATTAATCGGAGCTTTGGGACTCGTGAAAAAAGGAATGGACAATTTTACTAACAGTGTCGCAGGTAACATCAACATATAAGTTGCCCAGAAAATCGCCCTACTAGGAACATCACATAGACTAAGAAAAGGGATATCAATTAATTGATAATTCTCCTACAGGGCTTAAGGACCATAATTTGGAAGGAAACATAACATACGCAAATAATAATAATAATAATAAGAAGAAGAAGAAGAAGAAGAGTTTGGTTGATATTGTTTAGCGGCATATCAACCTCTATAGGTTATTTAATGCTGAAATCTAAATATTTTGGACATAGTTTATGGCTTCAATTACAGATTAAATGCATTTTTGGTCACTTTGTTATAAAATGTATTATTGGTAATTCTGTTTTAAAAATGTATTGTTGGTAATTTTACTATAAATATGTATTGTTGGTAACTTTGATATATAGAGAAATGTATTGCGGGTATTTTTACTATAAAAATGTATATTTATTCTTTCATAGTATTTGGGGGTTCACTATTTGCCCAGAGCCTGGACCCTAGCAGGCGCTACAATCCCCCCACCCGGGTCAAGGTGAACCTGGAAATAATAGCAATTAAGAGGTGGTTATACCCTTCTCAAAACCCCCAATCTCCCGATCAGAGATCTTACTTCTGGATGCACTTTATCGTCATATCCAGACGACGACGACGACGACGACGAAGAAGAAGAAGAAGAAGAAGAAGAAGAAGAAGAAGAAGAAGAAGAAGAAGAAGAAGAATAAGAATAAGAAGAAGAATAGATGTGTACCTGAATGGATGGTGAAGACGAGAACAACATTCATTATGAAGGATAAGGCCAAAAGCTCTCATCTTGAAAATTGCCGCCCGAATATCCTATGTAAACAATGAACGCGAATACTTAAAAATACTTATGAACATCTGAGAAACAGCCTATAACTAGACAAGCAAAAAGGACGCCGAAATATATCTCTGGTCTCTAAAGACCAACTTGCCATTTATAAAGCTGTCCTCCGAAACTGCAAACGACGGCGGACCAACATGTCAATGGCCTGGCTTGATTTTAAGAAGGCTCATGATATGGTAGCCCATGCCTGGGTACTGAAGTGCTTACAGATATAAAGCAAAAATTACCTTATGAACATCAACATCCTTTCCTGGATGATTAAATTATACTTGGGTCTGTCCGTATACGAAAAGGAATAGGAGAATAGGAATTTCTGGTCGATTTTTCTTCCCTTTGCACTCCGTGCTTGCTTTGATCCCATTATCGATGTCTTTAGAGAGAATCAAATTCAGATACATCTTAGATAAGGATAAGCCAGAGAATGGCATCAGCAATCTCCTTTTAATGGATGATCTCAAACTCTTTTGCCAAGAGTTGGAGCCAGATTTGTGGAACGATGATATCTACTGCAAGAAAGTTGGCATGGTGTTTTGGGCATCGAAGACTGGCGTACTGACGGTGAAGCGATCGAAAAGAGTCGCTAGTTCAGGGATTGAATTACCAACAGGATAAACCATCGCTGACCCAGATGAAACTGGCTACAAATACTTTGGTATTCTGGAGTTGGGTGACATTCTTGAGAGACAGGTAGAAGGACTCATTATAGAGAGATGCATGAAAACGTTACGGCTTTTTCTGAAATACAAGATTAATGCCTGTAATCTTATAACTGACGTTAATACCTGGCTGTATCTGTGATAAAGTATACTTGTACAGGAAATAGCGTAGCGTGCGAAAAGCGGAGAAAAAATTATCTTCAATCACAGCTCTACAAATTTAAATAAATTTGAGTAATTGTTTTCTTTCAAGTTCAAAGAAACGAATTAAAAATATCCTCGCAAAACAAAATCCCATAAAAATATTTTGTTTTTACAATACAACATAAATAATTGCGTTGATATGTTATAAATACCAGAATGTGCCTACTTAACGAGGATGCTACATATTTACGCTGTTTTATGAATGCGTTTAATTTCCCAGCAGTTAGCAAACGACAGCTGTGTTATTACTAATTCTAATATTTAGTTGTCATATTATGTTTCACATGTTGCTTAATTTACTTTAAGATCACGAGACTATTGCAAGAAGTTACTCAATAAATATGTGAAAGGTTAAGTAATTAATTATAGGGAAGGTGTGAGTAATCATGTTGCGCACAGCAACAACAACCCTAGTCACATGTCTACCAAAAAACTGTAAACGGAAAATTAGTTTTGTGAATTTATACGACGATATTTATGATATTTATAGCATAGGCTCCAGGAAGCTAATAGCTATATTTACTAAAGTCAGAGGTTTATTGGCTAATAAATATTTTTATCGATTTTTTTTTCATTTTCTGGAGCGATCTCTCAAATTTCGTAGCAGAAATCAAGCATGGCCGTTTGATTTTTCAAAGCCTAAAGAGTGTTTGAAATAACGTCCCTGATTAGTTAATAAATGCTAATGTGGATGTTTAAATTGGAGCCTACTTTTTATGCAAAAATGATTCGATTAAGATTTTTAGTGATATTATTTAAATTTTTTTCTTCAATTTTTAACGAGATTACACACAGCGTATGAGGGGTCAAATGGACAAAGGAGGAGTTATAAATTCTGGACAGAAAGATCCGAAGACAACTTTTTGAAAAAGGTGCTCTGCGCCAAAAAGCAAATACTCTCCATGAAAAGGGGTAGAGAACTTACTGAGGTAGAGAACGTACTGAAGAGTTAAACAAAATATAAGTGACTAAAAAAAGAAAAGAATGGTGAACGTCTGTGCAATATCAATCTTCGAATAGGGCAACGAGCATTGGCCAGTTTCTGCACAGATGAAGAGAATACTTGAAGCGACAAGGGGGAGCTAAGAATACAATGGAAAGAAAATGTAAAGTTCGAAGGCGTGACAATGAGATCTCTGGAGGTTTATCAAAGAAAGAAAGAAAGAAAGAAAGAAAGAAAGAAAGAAAGAATCGTAGAAGGTATCTAATAACTTAGTCGTAACTACTGAGATTGCAGGAAAATAGATTGAAAAGTTGGAAAGAAAATTAAAAGCGAAATGCGTTGAAAAATCTTCTTTTTTTTTTTTAGATAATTCCAAGGAGAATCAAATCCAGATTTAATTAGATGAAATTCAGTAAGATTGAACAAACCCAAGACATCCAGTCGGTCCCCACCTCCCACAAATTAGAAAGAGACTATTAAAGCATCCGCAAAGATGTCAGATAAAATCAAAAAGTATGTTGTCGAAAGAGAAATCCGGCTAATTAGCGAAATTGTATTCACGATTCCCTTGGATCAGATAAAATAAAAACGTATGTTTCAAATCAACCACCCAGAAGCAAAGAACCTCACGCGTTTGTCATTATAATTTCGGCAACATTCGTCCAGAGAAAATTTTATATCCAAATATTAATTCGGATTCCCTTGGATGCAAGTGGTAAGAAAAAAAAATGAATTACCATTTTGAAGTGACCATGGACAAAATGCATAGAGAGAAAAGAAACTTTTGTTTTAAGGAAAGTGGGAATTTTGTTTTCCTTTTCCAATTCTTGAGTGGTCTGGTCGATCGAGAAATCACAGCATGGGAAAAACTAATAAATAAGAACTAATGACTGAAAATCCCCTTTGTCTTCCATCAGACAAAGACGAGTTGAAATTGGCTGTTGAGAAAGTGGGAAAAGGAAGAGAATGAAAAGGAAGAGAAGGAGAATGAAGAGAAGGAGAAGTGACATATAAAGTGATTTTTAGTTATGTTACGAGGCGAAGTGTATTCAGGAATTCAAGATCCGACAGCAAACCCTTTAAAAATTTTCCCTCTAACTTCGCAGGTTCGTTTTTTTTTTTTTTTTTTGGCTTCGTGTTTCAGTGTTTTTCTCACTCTCTCTCTCACTCTCTCTCTCTCTCTCTCTATATATATATATATATATATATATATATTTATATATATAAATATATAAAATGTTTATGTATATAAATACATATATATATATATATATATATATATATATGCAATTTTTTATATATATTATTTATATATTATACATGCGCATTACTTATTGGAAAGCGCTCAATATCAGTGATTGAGCTAACATATTTAGATTGATGTGAATTTGTGACTCTGGGTTTCACGCTATTTGCGATCGTCAGAAAACCAGAGTTACAAACTTGCATCAATCCAACTAAATATATATATATATATATATATATATATATATATATATATATATATGGATTTTCTCCATCAAGACATTCATTTCTGTAGTTCACTGCTACCAGCAAGCAGAAATATTTCTCCTCCCGATGATGGCCATTTCGGTCGAAACTAGTCGAGGAATCTAAATGGAATAATAGTATAAAAAAAACGAAAGAATATTTACAACCCAGTGTGTCTAAAGATTTTAATTTTTTATTTTCTTATTGTTCAAAATATATATATATATATATATATATATATATATATATATATATATATATATATATATATATAGCATAGCGTGTGTCTTATAATGTTTTTACATATTGTTTTGTTTCCATCTAGCCATTTCAGCTATAAAATCATGAGACCAAGTTTCCAATCTAGTACAGCGCTTAAATTCCTAAAGTCGATGTACCAAATGCGTAAGCTTATTAGATACAATTACCATGAAAATATTTATGAAAAAAAAAACACAGGGAAAAAGGCGGTGTTGAAGTGAATGAATCCGAAATGCCAGTTTAGGACCTATAGCATTGCATATTTTTCTTTGGATTTTATCAAGAATCTCTAAGTGCATAACAGAAGCACCGAACCAGATGTGCTTGCAATATTCAATTCCTGAACGAATGGCAGGTTTATAAATGCTTAAGATAGATGGAAAGATTGTCTAGCGCGGCAGAGTGAACCAGAATTCCCAGCAGCAGACATAGGAATGGTTTCAAGATAATGTTTCCCCCTTCATGTTACCGGAACATTTTAGCCAGAGAAAGTACAATGAGTCACTCTACTCGAGGTTAGGATCAGCCTTTCTGATGGAAAGCAAAAAAAAAGGATTTTCGCTTTGGGGGTTTTAAAATTATCAAACTATTTGATATCATCGAACCGACCAGACCATCAAGACGGGAGAAAATAGTTGTGTGTTCAGTATAGATACAGAATTAAGAACTGATGACATCTGAAATGTCGTTGATGAAAATTAGGATCAACGTAACTCTAAGGAGTACCCTCATTAATACAGAAAGGTCACAAGAGTGGCCATTGATGACAACTCTATTTAGCTTTTTGATAAAACCGATTTAATTAAATTTTCATTTTTTAATTTTTCTCTTTTTTCTTTCTCTTACTTCTTTATTTATTCTCTTTCCTCTTCTCTTCTCTTTTTTTTTTCACAGTCCCCTCTCTAATTTCCTCTTTCTCTTTTTCTTTCTCTCATTTCTTCATTTGTTCTATTTACTCTTTCCTTGCTTTCTTTCTTTTTATAACTTACTTTCTAATTCTTTATTTCTTTTTCTCTTCCTTTTCATTATTTCTCCTTCCTACTCTTTCATTGCCCTTTTCTTCTTTCCTTATCTTTTTTTTTATTTTCTTCGTCTTTCTTTTTTTTCCTTTTTATCTATCATTTTCATCTCTACTCTATTCTTACCTTCTTTCTTTTTTTCATAAGCCCTTTTCTTCTCTCTTTCTCTCTCTCCCACACCATAATTCCTCCCTTACAATTCTACGTGTTTGACTGCGATAAAATTCAAAATTCAAAACCCTGGCCTTTACTAAGACTCGAAAACAAAATACCGGTTCCTGCTAGGAAACTCAAACACTTTTACGAGACGGGCTTTTTCTTGCTTTCACTTTTTTTTTTTTTATTTCACTTTTTTAACCCCCCTCCTTCTTCTTTTCCATCATCTTTGCATCCCCGCCCCTCGCCTTCTTTTCACTTGTCCCTAGCCGTCTTTTATTCTCCACTGCTTTTGGTCTGATGATTACTTTTCTACACTTCCTCGTGTAGACATTTCTCACAACATTTCTTGTAACGCAGATGCCATAAAGTTTTTCTCCAATTGACGATAGACATCTTGTTTACTCGGCACATGTAAGAAATAGAAAATAAAGAGAAAGGAAAAGGGAAATCAGTAGGAAGGAAGGAAGGAAGAAAGGAAGGAACAGAGAACGAAAGAAGGATGAAATGAAGGAAGGAAAGACGGAAGGAAGAAACGAAAGAAAAGAGAAAGAAAGGAAGGAAAGAAGAAAAGAAAGAAGGAAACAGGAAGGAAAGAAAGAAACAAGGAAGGAAGGAAGAAAAAGAAGGAAGGATGAAATGAATGAAGGAAGGAACGAAAGAAAAAAGGAAAGAAGACAGTAAGGAAGAAAGGAAGGAAAGAAAGAAGGAAGAAAGGAAGGAAGGCAAGAAGGAGGGAAAAGAATTAGGTGAAGGAAGGCAAAAAAGAAGGAAGGAAGGAAAGAAATAAGCAAGGGAGAACGAAAAAGAAAGAAAGGAACGATCGAACGAACGATGAAGAAAGAAAGAAAGAAAGAAAGAAAGAAAGAAAGAAAGAAAGAAATGAAGTAGGTATAGAAAGAAAGAAAGGAAGAAAGAAAGAAAAGAAGGAAGGCAAGAAAGAAAGAAAGAAGTAGGTGAAGGAAGGCAAGAAAGAGAAAAGAAAGAAAGAAAGAAAAAGAGAAAAGAAAGAAAGAAAGAAAGAAAGAAAGAAAGAAAGAAAGAAAGTGTTGTGATATACCCTCCTACAGTGGAATATTTTTGACCGAACCTACGGGCTCGGAGAACCCACGGTAAACTCGGCCTTGTGCCACATGTGGGGGGGGGTCTGTTAAATATCGTGTAGACGCAGTCTCTGACTGTGTGTGACTTCTGTCGAACTCTCCGCTTTGGCATAGAGGAACGCGGACGAAGCTATGCCGAAGCAGAGTTTCATCCAGGGAGGTAAACAGATTCTGCACCCATTTATACGGGTTCTAAGGGAATATTTTTGGCCGAACCTACGGGCTCGATGAAACCCACGTTAAACTCGGCCTTGTGTCACATACAACCCTTGTGGGAGAGGGGGCTGTTAAATATAGCGTAGACGCAGTGTTAACCTACCGTTCGTGCTTTGTATATATCTCAACCTACCTTCGTCTTCTGTGTTTTTCTTTGTGGTCCCTAAACAGGCAACAACAGAAAGAAAGAAAGAAAGAAAGAAAGAAAGAAAGAAAGAAAAGTAGGAAGTAAAGAAAAATGGAAAGAAGTAGGTGTAGGAAGGCAAGAAAGAAAGAAGGAAGGAAGGAAGGAAGGAAGGAAGGAAGGAAGGAAGGAAGGAAGGAAAAATAGAAAGAAGTGGCTGTAAGAAAGAAAGAAAGAAAGAAAGAAAGAAAGAAAAGTAGGAAGTAAAGAAAAATGGAAAGAAGTAGGTGTAGGAAGGCAAGAAAGAAGGAAAGAAGGAAGAAAGGAAGGAAGGAAGGAAGGAAGGAAGGAAGGAAGGAAGGAAAAATAGAAAGAAGTGGCTGTAGGAAAGAAAGAAAGAAAGAAAGAAAGAAAGAAAGAAAGAAAGAAAAAAGAAAAGTAGGAAGTAAAGAAAATGGAAAGAAGTAGGTGTAGGAAGGCAAGAAAGAAGGAAGGAAGGAAGGAAGGAAGGAAGGAAGGAAGGAAGGAAAATAGCAAGAAGTGGCTGTAAGAAAGAAAGAAAGAAAGAAAGAAAGAAAGAAAGAAAGAAAGGTAGGAAGGAAAGAAAGAAAATGGAAAGAAGTAGGTGTAGGAAGGCAAGAAAGAAGGAAGGAAGGAAGGAAGGAAGGAAGGAAGGAAGGAAGGAAAAAATAGAAAAAAGTGGCTGTAAAAGAAAGAAAGAAAGAAAGAAAGAAAAAAGAAAGAAAAAGAAAGAAAGGTAGGAAGGAAAGAAAGAAAATGGAAAGAAGTAGGTGTAGGAAGGCAAGAAAGAAAGAAGGAAGGAAGGAAGGAAGGAAGGAAAAATAGAAAAGAAGTGGCTGTAGGAAAGAAAGAAAGAAAGAAAAAAGAAAAGAAAGAAAAAAAAAAAGAAAAGAAAGAAAATGGAAAGAAGTAGGTGTAGGAAGGCAAGAAAGAAGGAAGGAAGGAAGGAAGGAAGGAAGGAAGGAAGGAAGGAAAAATAGAAAGAAGTGGCTGTAAGAAAGAAAGAAAGAAAGAAAGAAAGAAAGAAAGAAAAGTAGGAAGTAAAGAAAATGGAAAAGAAGTAGGTGTAGGAAGGCAAGAAAAAGAAAGAAGGAAGGAAGGAAGGAAGGAAGGAAGGAAGGAAGGAAAAATAGAAAGAAGTGGCTGTAAGAAAAAGAAAGAAAGAAAGAAAGAAAGAAAGAAAGAAAAGTAGGAAGTAAAGAAAAAATGGAAAATGAAAGGTGAAAGGCAAGGTGGAAGGAAGGAAGGAAGGAAGGAAGGAAGGAAGGAAGGAAGGAAGGAAGGAAAAATAGAAAGAAGTGGCTGTAGGAAAGAAAGAAAGAAAGAAAGAAAGAAAGAAAGAAAGAAAGAAAGAAAGAACGAAAGAAAAGTAGGAAGTAAAGAAAAATGGAAAGAAGTAGGTGTAGGAAGGCAAGAAAGAAGGAAGGAAGGAAGGAAGGAAGGAAGGAAAAATAGAAAAAAGTGGCTGTAAGAAAGAAAGAAAAAGAAAGAAAGAAAGAAAGAAAGAAAGAAAGAAAGAAAAGTAGGAAGTAAAGAAAAATGGAAAGAAGTAGGTGTAGGAAGGCAAGAAAGGAAGGAAGGAAGGAAGGAAGGAAGGAAGGAAGGAAGGAAGGAAGGAAGGAAGGAAAAAAAAATGGAAAGACGTAGCTGTAAGAAAGAAAGAAAGAAAGAAAGAAAGGAAGGAAGGAAGGAAGGAAGGAAGGAAGGAAGGAAGGAAAAAAAAATGGAAAGACGTAGCTGTAAGAAAGAAAGAAAGAAAGAAAGAAAGAAGGAAGGAAGGAAGGAAGGAAGGAAGGAACCGTCATCATGGCTGCATTTTCGAGATGATGACGCAACGTAGAATGGTTTGCTTGCTTTTCATACTTCATAAATTAGATTGCATTTGTGCATTGATTGCCCTGCTTTTTTTTTGCCGTGATCAATGGCGGTGAGGTCATTCGATATAAATATTGCTCATTTCTTTGTTGTGATTGACGCCTCATTTCTTTTTCATTAAACAGTGTGTATCCCGTTTATCAGTCTGCGCTTCAAGAAATCTTAATGAAGAAAATTTTCCTTTTAGAATTTCCTCTGATGGACTTTATCAAGGCAAATGTAAGGATTTTATTTTGCAACAAATATTTATAAACAGAATTAAAAATGTCTTCAATTTTTCAGAAGTTTTAAATTTAAGAGACTCTCATAAATATACACCAGGTTAACTGATGGTAACTTATGGAAGATGCTAAGTGATGTAATTTAATGTCTAGTAAGCGTTGCTGCACGCGCTAATTAATTAGGTCAGCAGCAACCGATGGGCAACGAGTAAAGATGTGAATCATGCCCACACAGCATGAGCTACGAGTGGAAGGTTATGTGTGAAAAAGTAAATTAAATTTTGCCTTTGGTTTTTTTTTTTAAAGTGTAAAAAAATCAGTTTTTTTTAGATTTTTCACCTTTAAGGTTGTAATTTTTTCCAGCCAATTTGGACTCAAAACCGGCACTGAAGAATTATCTATCAAACAAAAAAAAATCATTGAAATCGGATGAAAACTGTGGAAAAGTCTAAATAAGATCCGATCACACACACACCCAGACACACACACACGTACATACACACACATTTTGAAAATTATAGTTATAGATAATAGTGTAATAATTAATGTAAACTATTTATTTTTATTAAAGTTTTTATAATAGATATATATCCAAGAACAGATAGCAAATGGTAAAACGTTGCTGCGAGTTATAATGGACAGGAAGTAGTGGAGAGCCATTGTCGTCAACAATTTGGACTCAAAACCGGCACTGAAGAATTATCTATTTCAAAAAAAATTTCATCGAAATCGGATGGAAACAAACCACATACACAACATCCGATCACACACACACACACACACACACATTTTGAGAATTATAGATATAGGATATGACTATTGCATTTGATAAATTGCTGTGTGTAAGATCCGTTTTCTATTCATATATCCGTTTCTTTTTTTTTTTTATTTCTGCAGGTTTCCCCTGTATATTCTAACGAACAGCAGTGACAGTTTATTTTATATGTACCTGCTTCAGAATTATTATTGTTATGTATATTTTTAGTTCTGATCATATCCATAATATACATATACACATTTCAACATTTAATAACTTCTATATTTATTTAAATTTTAATTCATAATATAGGTACCACTATTGAATTTTCGATAATTTTTAGAAATGAAAAAGCCTTCTTGAAACTTTAATTTTAGCTTTAATTGAAAGCTAAATGATTAGATTTACTGTTTCCAGTAAGCAAAATACTCTCGTGTATTTCAAATAGAAATTACTTGATTTGAATCTAGACTTTTTGCTCGTTTTCCCAAAAAGAAACATTTTTTACACATTTGTAAGCAAAAGTTAATTCTCAGTTTTAAAAATCTTACAAAAATAAAATATACTTTTCTGAAACATCATTTGAGGAATATTAGCGGATTTAAAGTATAGTTGATCTGATTTGAAACAAATATTTAATTTAATTTTAAAATAACAGAGAAATGGATGTTTAAAACAAGCAATAGCGGTGATTATACGCTTATTACTGTCGCTTGTCACTCATAACTCACGTGATGATAAAACATATTAACACCTTTACTGTCGTTCTACGGAGACTTTACCTGTTAAAACATAATTTAAGAAAATGACGGGTGAGTGTTTTTTTTATATATATAATTTTTAAGTACTCAGTACTGTAAAAAATATTGGAAAATATTCTCCTAAATTTAATTTTAGGAATGTTGAATTTAAATTTACTATATTCGTCACTCTTATTTTCTGATTATGTCGTGTACGGACGACCATACTTTCAGACAGGGACATGAGTAGTATTCTATATACATAAAAAAATTAAATATTGGGTGTAAACAACTGTTATTGTGCATTTCAATGTTTGAAATATAGTTTTCACTTAATAAAAATATCACGTGACCGGATTGAAGTAATGCAGAATTTTAAACGATTTATATTATAAATTATTATAATTAAATTAAAAAAAAAATGAAAACAGTTCTTGTAAAAATTCATTATCCATCGATTTTTTTTTCTTAAGGCAATAGTTGCCTTAATAAATTTTATTTATAAAAGCAATTAAAAGCTTTTTTATTTAAATAAAGTCGTAGTTTGTTGCATTTTTTTTATTTACAATTCCGAGCAGATTTTCGGTCACTGGGTGTTCTTTCACAAATAAATAAATAAATGATCGATAATCTACATTCTCCAAGGTGTCATGCTTTTAACTATTAAAACAAGTTTTAAGATTGCAATTTACTTTCTCGAAATATCAGGAAGTTAAATATGTGGGGGAGGGGGTAATATATGTAAAAAAAAAAATACTTTTACCAAAATTTTCTCAAAAATACTTTTAAATAATTTCTTTCATTTATGTAGTAGTTGAAAGAAATGGGACACTGGTAATATGAAATTAGGATTAAAAGGCTTCATGTGAAACCCTGTATAGAAATGGAGAAGTGGAAAAGTTGAAAACGTAAGAAAAACGTTAAAGTGAAAAATATGAATTAAGATATGAAGGGAAGGAAAAAAGAGAAATGTATTTTTGATTTCTGATAAACTGAAACAGCAAATAAGTTATGTTATGAATACGAAAGCTGTAATGGAAAGCAGTAGAAAAATTCTTTTGAAAAGGTGACTGTTTGGTATTTGAAGGTTATTGTCCGCCTAGGAAGCGAATTTTGTTATAGCCAAAAATGTAAACAATGGGATGTTAGATCAGTCATTTGGAAATCGACAAAAGAATTCAATGGAATTCAACAAAAGAAATGAAATTCTTTCGAAATAATTTTAAAAAATTGCTGATGGGAAAAATTATTGCTTTGATAGAAACGGCCAATTGTCGCAATGAATGTGGTGAGAAAGTTTATTGTTTGAAATAGCTGACAGATTTGTTTGAGGGTCGATATTATGTCTCCAGGGTTGGAGAAAAAAATTAATTGATGAATACGTAATGAGCTTTGATGGACGGTAAGAGTTGGGCGAGATGCATATGAATTGAACGTTTAGTTGAAGCCACCAGTTGACGTTGGAGAGGGTGGAGACGAATCAATAGCGGATGAGGGAGCTGTTTAACACCACGTGACCTGCCGCCGAGAATTTTAGATTTAAACGTTTCTTATGAATGTTTAATCCGCTCCAATTTTAGAAGCAAGAGATTCAGTGTCATGATAGAGAGTTGAACGGCAAGGGCTAATTCTGTTGTATCAACGATTATATAAAAAACCATTGAAAATTAACTCAGCGGCCTTTTTCGTTATTTGTTATATTTGTGTTTTCTCCGGCGGAAGCACTTTTGTCTTTTTTCATAGCACGGTTGCGCCAACTTGATTCAGAGCTTAAAGTACGGACGAATATTCGATCTTCACTACCCTGTGATCAAAGAACATAACGTGGGTAGAGCGGATAAAGTAACGAAGCGGTCAACAGATAACTATCAGTTGACTGGCGCCAGTCCTGACTAGCGTGTGAACGATCCAGGATCGAGCTTGGCCGGCCGTGTTATACTGAAAGTTTCATTAAAATTTGAAAATTATTTCATTTTTGCAAGAATTTCCAAATCCATCTGTTTTTCACCGAAAAAAGCGCAAAATCACTAATCGTATATATTACGCTGTCCGCTGACGTAAAAAAAACAAGATTTGTCACCAAAATGTCGAACGTGGTAGAAAGGATTAAAAAAATTAATAAAAATTTCTTCGGTCTTTTTTCTTAATAATATATATATATATATATATATATATATATATATATATGTAGGGAGAGAAACAGGCATACAGACAGACAGATAGAGACCATTGTATTGTGTGTGTTGAGACTGGGCCTGCGCTGCTCACGAGTATGAAATTTTATATCATTTAAAATAATACCAGGGTCTACTTAAATATAGGTAACCACTAAAATAACGTTTGCTGTAATATATATATATTCATTAAGACGGATCAAAATCAGCAGTAAATAAATCAGTGATTTTGGTAAAAATTTACTTATTTCTCCATTGGATCATGTTATTCAAGTCATGTATATATATATATATATATATATATATATATATATATATATATATAACGGTCATCTGCGTAGATGCGAAGCTCTTCAGTAAAATGAACGGAGCACTTTGGCTGCTTGGTGTTTGTTTAAGTTCGTAAATACAATACGCTAGATTTGAAAATCCTGGGCCATTTACCGATAACATTACTGACTATTCTCTGGATTTTGTAGAGAATCTCGAGCAGGGACATCAGACCTGTTATGGCAGTAATATACAAGTCAAATGCGAATGATAATCTTATAAATATGTCAGATAGATTCCGGTGAGAAAAAAATTGTCTTGTACGACACAGTGAACCAACTTTCCTAGCAGCAGACCTCATTTAAAATAATAGCAGGGTCTACTTAAATATAGGTAACCACTAAAATAACGTTTACTGCAATATATATATATATATATATATATATATATATATATATATATATATATATGGTCACCTGCGTAGATGCGAAGCTCTTCAGTAAAATGAACGGAGTACTTTCGCACTTTCGTTGCTTGGTGTTTGTTTACGTTCGTAAATACAATACGCTAGATTTGGATGATTTGTTCTGTCGCGTGTAGATGGCTCAGTAGTGGAAGATCTGACTGACACTATATCTGTTGGGTTTCGATCCGGGCTTGAGGCATTCGGTTGTCTTGTCGCACTGAGGGACTGTGATACAGCGAAACTGTACTGTCTGCGAATGGCATTATGTATATGTAAGTGTCCAGCCGATTTGTTAAATTTTTATT